ATATACCCATCGTAATTTGCTTAATATAGATTTATCTTTTATAATATATTCATATGTTGTTAAGAGAACTTGAAAATCAACATGTTTGATAAACTGTTGTTGAAGTTCTTTACGAGTATTAGGTGCACCCTTGTAGACACACTTCCTTACAGTTGGGGCCCATTTATCGAACTCGAGTGTCCAATTTGTTAATGTACTATTGTAATAGAGGATTTTTCATAATACGGTTAAAACCTACAAACAATGAATAAATAAATAAATCGATCCGCTACTTACGACAACGGAACTACAATCAAAAATGGGCCGTTTTGCCTTTTTCTTTCTATCAAATACGTAACTAAAGAAATGGTTTGGATCGTTTTACCGAGACCCATTTCATCAGCAAGGATACCATTCAATCGGTTATTATATAGTGATACCATCCATTGCAATCCTTTGACCTTTTTATCATGTTTAATTAATATTAATCATAATATAGTCTAGCATCGTTGAACATTTATATAATTTACCTGATAGTCTTTCAAACTTCCTCCTATCATTATAGATGGTTGTTCAACTTCTTCCTTGATTCTATGGGCAACAGCATAATAATCGACCTTCTTCCCATTCTATACCGTTAATTTAAAAATAGCAAATTAAAACGCAAATTTAAGTGTGCAAATAGACATACTCTTTTTAACGTACCACAATAGTTATGTTTTCATCTTCTCCTATATCTTCTTCTTCTTCATCCATCAATTCAATGCCACCTCTTACAGTAGGGTCTTTGTGTAATTCGTCACGTTGTTGAGCAACAACAGCCTGGGCCAAAGAGTCTAGATATTGATCCGTTTGTTTTAACAGATGCGTAATTCTTGTATCCTTAACTTTATCAATAAGCTTCAAGTAAGCCTCTTCATCATCATTTTTCAAAGCTCTTAAACGTTCTTTAGATAATCTTTCCAATCTCTTCTGTTCTTCCTTCTCAACTTGCGAATGATAACTTATAACTGCGCGGCCAAACTTAAGTTGTTTCGTTTGGCTTGAACGATGCCATAGAATCAAATCACGCCCATGGTTACAAATACTCTGTATTCGATCTAAATGTTTTTGTTTTTTGACTCGTTGTCTATCTTCACGTTGCTGCTTTTCAAGTCTATCTGTCATCCTAGCATCACTCATCGACTGTTTTTTCATCCTTCTATAGCCAGAACGATTTGTAGTTGTAGCCAGTGTTGTAGATTTTGACATGCCTTTAATAAATTCTTGACGCAACTGTAATTAACCGAACGATGTATAAATATACCTCCCAAATTAAGATAATTAATTTGAGATTCATGGTAACTTGCCTTTTTTTGCTTTTCTAATACTTTTAATCCTTTCAATTCAATTGACATTTTTATTTTTTCGCCTTTACTTTGGTACAACCCCGCTTCAAGTTCATATTCGAGTGCGAAGATTCTTTGCTGAACACGGGCTTTTATTTGACGCTCTCGCTCTGCAGCAATCTCATTTGGATCTAGCCCAATTGGCATTATTGCTGGTATTAACATTCTTTGTTGACGGGATGCATGAGAATAGGTATTGACCGGTTTTAGATAAGTTAAAGGATTTGTGTAGGCATTATAAAGAGGTGTCGAGGCTGATGCTTGGGCAGAAGACACTGCCTCGGCTGTTGGGTTTGGTGATGTCCGTGAATGATGATTATATGACGCTTCAACAAGTTTTCCAGTTAAAGGAGTTCCTGTTATTTCTTGAGCAGACAAACCCTGAGATTGTCCAGGGGAGAACATTGCTTGTTGTAAGGGCGCAGGGACTTCTAAATTATGAGATATGAGCTTAAATGCCAATATCTGGTATTTCAAAGCGGAAAGTTGTTCTTGTGATAAGGGGGTTTGTGATGTCAAAGCTGCCGTTGAGGCAGATCTGACCTCACCGCTTGAAGTAGCAGTTGAAACATGCTGTTGTTGTTGTTGTAGTTGCTGTTGCTGTTGGTTATACATGGGTGTCGAAAATATTTTGCTCTTGGCATAAGTTTAAATGGCGAAAAGAATTTTTGACAGTCAAAATCGCAAATAATTTAGTATGCCGAAAATATCTATTAAAAAAATGTCATTTTTTTGGATCTGTACCGTGATAATTAACCAATCAAAATACTGTCACCCTTCGATATAGTCACACTACTGATATAAAAGATATTTAATTAAAATTATTATAAAAAAAAATAAAATAAATTGTTTTAAATTAATAATAATTAAATTATAACAACTAAATTTTAATATTAAAAAAGTTAATTGTTTTTTATTAATTTAAAATATCTTTATATCAGTAGTGTGACTATATCGAGGTGCGTTAGTATATAAAATGTATACTACTAGAAAACGAAAAAAACTTCATATCAGATATAAAGAAGCTTATAAATTGATAAATGACGCTAAAGAATTTATCACATATATCTAGAGAATAGATAGACATGCGTAAAGTGGGTAAATGTTATATTTATTATTAATAATTAAAGAACTTTTACAATTGATAAACCCAAACACATTACAAGAACCAATATAAACTCAGATCTACTACTACTAAAGAGCTTACACCTATTCAAATTAAAGTTAAAAATAAAATTTAATATAATAAAATAGCTTTAGAAAAGAATGTTTTTAGTTATAATATTATTATTATTTTTTTTTTTTATTAAGGTGATGCCTTGCTCATATCTTTATTAATAGTTTTTATCATAGTAACTACAAGGAGTTGCTAACCTTAATATATAAAATATAA